CTCTCTGACCCTCTGCTGCTCATGCTGTCTCTCTCTCAGAAATAAATTAAAAACAAAAAAAAGTAAATAAAATAAATATCCATTAAAAAAAAGACCAAGAAAACAGACAACCCAATAAAAAAAATGGGTAGAAGATCTGAACAGGCACCCCACCAAAAATGTACAGATGGCAAATAAGCATATGAAAAGATACTCAACATCCTATGTCATCAGGGAATTTCAAATTAAGCAACAGTGAGATACCACTATTAGAATGGCTCAAGTTCAAAACTTTGACAACACCAAATGCTGATGAGGACGTGGAGCAATAGGGACTCATTTATTGCTAGTGGGAATGTAAAATGGTATGGCTGTGTTGGATGAAAGAGAGTCTGGAAGTTTCTTACAAAGCTAAATTAAACATTGTCTTGCCATATGATCCCATGATCATTCTCCTTGGTATTTACCCAAATGGGTTGAAAGCCTGTATCTACACAAAAATCTGCACACGAATGTTTATAGCAGCTTTGTTTATAATTGCTAAAAGTTGGAAGCAACCAAGATGTCCTAAAGTAGGTGAATAGATAAACTGTGGTCCTTCCAGATGCTGGAATATTATTCAGTGATAAAACGAATTGTTATTCATGGAGGAATCTTAAATGCATGTTGCTTAATGGAAAAAGCCAATCTGAAAAGACTGTATGATTTTAATTACCTGACATTTGGAAGAGAGAGGGTTTGAATAGGTGGAACATGGGATTTTTAGGGCAGTGAAACTGTTCTGTGTGACTCTGTAATGGCGGATGCACGTCATTATACATTTGTCAACTCCTAGAATGTACAACACAGAGAACCCTAATGTAAATTATGGACTTTCATTTATAATGTTGCACAAACACTGGTTGTTCATCAGTTGTAACAAATGTATCACCCTGATGTCAAATGTCAATAGTATAAAGGAGAAACTATATGTGTGTGGTACGGAGAAGGGGTACATGGGATTTTTTGTATTTTTCACCCAATTTTTCTATAAACCTAAAACTCTAAAAAAATATCCACTGATTGAAAAAGCAGTGCTTGAATCCCCAGTAGCTGGTGCACCTGAATGTCTCATAGTTAAGCGTCCAACTCTTGATTTTGGCTCAGGTCATGATCTCACTGTGGGATTGAGCCCTGGGTGTTAGTCTCTGCACTGACATCCTGGAGCCTGTTTGGGATTCTCATTCTCTCTCTCTCTCTCTCTCTCTCTCTCTCTCTCTCTGTCTCTGTCTCTGTCTCTGTCTCTCTGTCTCTCTCTGTCTCAAAACAAATGAACAGACATTAAACAAAAAGAATAGTAACTGTCGTCTATTAAAAAAAATGATTAAAAAAAGTAATGCACATGCTTATACTTTTCACCTGCTGCATAAAGCTACTCTTACTTAGTAGAGCACACCTAATATTTTTCTACACTCTGTTTTTTAAATGTACACATAACTCTTATATCAACAAAATGTCTTATTTGATATTTGAGGGCTTTTTTCATCCTCCTGAAGCCATTTATTGAGTGTGTACTATTTGGCAAATACTTTTAGGTATTTTTTATTTAGTTTAAGGTGGATCCTGTTTACCCCATTGCAGAGGTGACAAAGCTCTGGCTCAGAGAAGTGACATGGCAATAGGCCCATTTGGCTCTAAAGCCTATGTGCTATACAGACCTGGTAATTCACATAGATACATTTTTTTGAAATTGCTAAAGTTTAGCCCCTAACATAAGTGTAAGTGCCTTTAGAGTGCAAAAATATTATTGAAAAAGATTGTCTAGGTTTAAATTGGCTTTACTGTGTACTTCTGCTTTGTGTTTTCAATTAAGTTATATTACCTCTTTATGCTGTAGTTTCTTTATGTGTTAAATGGAGATAGTAATTGAAATTGTTGTGAGGATTAAATGAGTTAGTATATGAACAGCTCTTCGAATGATGCCCAGTACAGAATATGAGTTACATAAATGTTACGTATTAATTAGTAGCAGAATTTCATTTCATAGATAAAAGAAACTGAGATCCAAAGAAATGAAATTATTTTCTGAGACATGTAACTTTCTAAAGTCACTTAGCTATTAAATGGCAAAGTTGAGTTTTTTTTAAATTTCAAGGCCAGATTTTTATCTACTGTTAATTTTTTTTTTTTTTTTTTTAAGGAAAACTCTTGACTCTGAATTTGGTTCTGGACCAGAGGCCTTTGTCCTTGATTAACTAATCGAGGCCTTAATATCTGTAGTTGTTTTGTAAGATATGGGGTGGGTGGAGTTGGGCCAGATGATTTCTAAGTTGCTTTTACAGCACCAACAGAATATGATTTTTTTTTTTTAATGTTTATTTATTTTTGAGAGAGAGAGAGAGAGAGTGAGCAGGGGAGGGGCAGAGAGAGAGGGAGACACAGAATTGAAGCTGGCTCCAGGCTCTCAGCTGTCAGCACAGAGCCCGACGCGGGGCTTGAACCCACGAACCATGAGATCACAACCTGAGCCGAAGTCAGATGCTTAACCGACTGAGCCACCCAGGTGCCCCCAACAGTATGATTTTGAGATATGTTGTTTCATTAGAGATTATTGAACTATGCTGTAAGTCCTGAAGTTCCCCGAGCTGCTTGATGCATTCATAGGCTGATTACTCTCTATGCTAAATGAAGAATTCTGTATTTTGATACTGGTGATCCACAGTTTCTCCACTACATCAGTTTTTTTTTAATGTTTATTTTTGAGAGGGAGAGAGCAAGCGAGCACAAGCAGGGGAGGGGCAGACAGAATCCATTGCAGGCTATAGGCTCTGAGCTGTCAACACAGAGCCCAATGTGGAGTCCAAACCCCTGAATGGTGAGATCATGATCTGAGCTGAAATCAGATGCTTTAACTGACTGAGCCACCCAGGTGCCTCAGCTTTTTCTCAGCATTCTTCTTTGCTTTCAATCTACTTTCTTAATATAGTTGAATTTTTGGCTTTACCTTTTTACAGAGTGAAGCATGTGAACTTTGCTATCAGTTCTCAGCTGAACACATAACAGTCTTTTTTGGTTGCTGGATTCACAGCTAAATACTAAATGGTTGAATCTGCTAGAATGGTGGAGTAGGGTTGGGAATGGGAAATGCTAGACTTACTTGTGTATTTCAGTCTGTATACAAATGGATCTTTGAGATGTGTCTTACCATGGAATCATGTTTCAGGTTGATTTTTAACTTCTTTGTATGAAAACACCTTAAGAATTGTAGCATGTGTGTGTTCTCTCCTTTGTGTGATATGTATGATAAAGTAAATCCCATTGATCAGTTACATAATTTTTTTTTAATCGAGCTTCACTAGCTTCAGGTGGATTTTGTAGAGTCGGGGAAGTTGGTTACAGGATATGAATAGTTTTTTATGTAGGTCACAGCTGAGTATCATTTGACTAAAATGATGGGTCTATTTTTTCATGTGCAGTATTGGGGAGTGTTAAATGTTACACCTTTAACTTTCCTGGTCCCACAAATTCAAAAAGGATTTTTTTTTCTTTAAGAGAGCAACTGATAGTCTTAGGAAACTGTTACAGACAAAAGTATGGGGGGGGGTTACTTACTTAAAGGACATTTAAAGGAGAGATACTGAGATGAAGAGGAAGCTGTTTTGTGTTTATTCTATGGTGTATAAATAATTTCTGATATCCATGTAGCTATGTGTTCTGTTTTGATGGTTGTGCACTCTTTCTCTCTTATAAAACATCTTAGTTTATAATTTATAAAGATTTAATCAGTGCTCGGAAGAGTTTACTTTTACCCTATCTGGAATAAAATCTCATAAAGATGGAGTAAAGGGGTAATAGTAATTAGGCCTCTGGGCAGAAAAACACAGTAGGATTTTGATGAGAGTCATCCATGGGTAACTAGAAGTTAGGATCTAATGAATATTGAGAAGTTTGGCATAACAGCATATATAGGCTGAAATCCAGGAACAGGGTCTCTCAGGAGTTAGGGGAACAGAGTCAAAAAAGCATTCTGAATTTTAGGCCTAAAAATTATTAAAGAAGAAACATTGTGCCAACATGTATTGTCTGATGGCAATATTAAATGGAAAAGCTTCACAGTTTCAGTTAATGGTGGTATTATATTTTCAGGTGGATTATCTACTTTTTAAATAGGTCTGGTTAATGTTAATTTCTTTTTTTAAATAAATTTTTTGTTTTTTTTTAAAGAGACAGAGAAGAAGAGAATGTAAGCAAGGGAGGGGCAGAGAGAGAAGGAAACATAGAATCAAAAGCAGGCTCCGGGCACTAAGCTGTCAGCACAGAGCCCGACACAGGGCTCAAACCCACAAATTGCAGGATCATGATCTGAGCCATCGTCAGACCTCAACCGACTGAGCCACCCAGGCGCCCCCGTGGCTAATGCCAGTTTCCAATTGCATATCTCATGGTTGATGGTAACATTGTGCCATCATCAATACGAATAGTAGTATTACTTTTTTAGGTAGTAGTTCTTTCTTTATTTTTTATTCTAAATTTTTAAAAAATTATTATTAAAAAATTTTTTAAGTTTAGTTTGGCAGAAAGAGAGGGTGCTTGGGAAGGTCAGAGAGAGTGGGGGAGAGAGAAAATCCCAAGCAGATTCTGGGCTGTTAGTGTGGATCCCAGCCTGGGGCTCCATCTCATGAACCCTGAGATCATGATCTGAGCTGAGTTGGACACTCAGCCAACCGACTGAGTCACCTAGGCGCCCCTCAGGTAGCACTTTACTGAATCTGTATCTGTTAATGTATTTATCTCATTGAGTGCAAGTCAGCCAGCTGCCACATTGTGGCTACCAGGAGAGTTACTTTTTTGGCTATATCACTTAGGTTCTCGGCCCCAGGCCTTCAAAAGATATATTTAGGTTTTTGTTTGAAATGAGGTCATTTTCCTCTGTAAAGATTATTTCCTTTTAGTCAATAGCATGTTTATTAGCTCCACATTCAGATATGAAACTACTTGTACATAAGCATTTTTGAAAAGTTGTTTTTCTTTGTCTCTTGTAGGTGTATTCCAGAAAATAAGTCTTCAAACATCTTTGCCATATTGACTTTGAGCTGTCAGGGGACTCAGGCTTATGAGGAGGTACTGTCACACAAAACAGTGTCTACTGAAGACGACAAGAAAGTGGGGAAAGGATTGGAAAAAGAAGCTAAAACACTATAGAAAACCATGGTAGGTATTCTTCATGTTTCCTTAATTTATTTCTAAAAGATTCCAGTAGTTTAAAACTGGAAATGTTAATAACGAGGGCAAGTGAAAAACAGTGGTGTTAATTTTTGGCTCTCATGCATCAGATAAAACACTACTCCACTACTTAAGCAAAGCCAATGAGTTCAGATTTATTATGTGCCCTTTAAACCACAAGATGGAGCCCCATGAGCCTTCAGGCCATAAATTATTAAATACTCATAAATATTTTCTAATAAAACTAGTGTTAGCAAACTGACAGAAGGATGACTTAGGTGACCTTGAACTTGAAATTATGTAATTTTTCACTAGTCTTCTCCCTGAAGTTTAGTTTTTTCCAGTGGAAATTAAAATTCTTGAACTAGTCCTTTAATGAGTTTTGTGAATGGTGTAGGAGTTTATGAAGTTCGAGTGTTGAACTCAAAAAGTCACCTTTTTCCACATGCTTTCAAAATAACAGGGTCAAGTGTTGAGTGTATTGGGGGTCACTGAACCTACTCTCAAGGAAACCTTGCTTTTTGTGAGAAGTTCAGACTCAAATGAGATGTTAAATGCGGTCATAACCTTTGGTGCCTAGTGTATCAACTGGTAAAATGTGTTGAATTTTTTCTTCTAGTATTTTGTTTCTGGAGGATGTTGTGTGATTTTTTTCCCTAAGTATAAGTGAGAGAAAAGGCTTAAAAAAGATGTTATAAGTGGGAGAAAAAGCACAAAAATATTAATCATCAGTATGTTTGAAATATGTTGTTTAGCAAGCCTGATGGTATTTCTTTAAGTGTTAGTTGATTTTTTAAAAAATTGTTCTATGGATTATAACTTAGTTGGTTTGCTCTTTAGAAAAGAAATTCTCCAAATATTTTAATTCTGGATGGTAGGAGCAAATGTTAGTTAACTTGGAGTTTTCTCTGTCATTGAGTTTTGGTTGAGGTGTAAGAAAGGACACTGGGGCTTATGTTTCTTTGAATATGACACATTTGCCTCTTCAGCTTATTTATTGATTATAGTCTTGATATTTCACAATTTAAATGCTTTTTAATATTATTTGCCATAGTTGATAAAAAATTCCTTTCCTAATTTATTCATTTTAAATTTAGCTTAGATTTTCTGGTGTAGGAATTTTGTTGACATGATTTAATTGGCTGGTAGGTGTTTTCCAGTTTCTCCTATTGCTTTACTTCTTAGATCTTAGATTTGAATGGTAACTTTCTGTTTCTGCATATTTCTTTCCAATTTAAATGTTTAAATCTTTAAACAAACCCATTTGGACCTTGTTGGGGCAAATAAGATCGCCCTCCCTCCCCCCCTTTGTTTTATTTGGTAATACCTCTTACTCTCCCTTTCATCATTGTTTCATGCTGCTTGCCCTGTCACATCCAGTAGACTCATGGATTTAACATTCTTGGATTTAACATTGGCAGTCTGTGTCATTTGTGAAACACTAAAGGTTTGCGGTAGATAGCAATATGGAATTTTGTTAAGGTGAGGCCAGTATGTAGGATTGAGTAATTTAGCTAATTAAGTAATTTAGTAACTCACCATACAACTAAGTGACAGAGAAGATCCGAAGTTAACATCCTTCGCCCAAGGACGTCCTTCGCCCAAGGTTGCCGGCCATTCAGAACTAAGAAACTAGTAAATTTCTTCTTGTCTAAAGAGCAAGTCAAGTAATTTAGTAATTTATCCCCAGAACAACTTAGCATCTCCAGTTTGTTATAGGTCTGTTTTGTTTTCTTGTTACTTATTTTGGGATATGTGAGTAAATCCCAAGAAAGGATGAAAAAGTTTGTTTCTTGGAGGCAAAAGGCTCTAGTTAGAAAACTGGTTGTGGACTTTGAGCAAGGAAAAAATCTAGACAGAAGTGACTTTTATGTAGGAAAAAAGAAAGCTTTGTGATTGATTTTCATCCTTTTATTATATAAAATTTGAGGGTTTCAAAGGATTATTTACCTTTATAGTTTGCTTCATTTTATAGGGGACAGTAATACTGTAGCATTAATTTACTGATGTCCAAATTAGTATGATTTTTAAACATTAATACACAAAAACAAGAAAAAAGAGACAGGTGACTGATAAAGAATTGAGAATTTTTTATTTTGTGGTAGACTTTAAAACAAAATATTTATCACCTACTAGCACATAAAAGTTCATATAAGTAAAGACACTATAGCTGCCTTTTAAATGGAATACTTTGGCCTTTATGGAAACGAAACCATCTTATCCCTGTTTATTTTTCAGTGTGCCGGTACAAGTGCCTTCAGGGTATTTGTAAATTTGGAAATATTCAGAGGTTTTTGGAAGTGTGACTCATGAGTGTGAAGGATATACTGCATTAAATTTTCATGAAATTCATTCTATTTCTAGGCTCTAATCTGCTCCACTGATTTCTGGGCCAGCGTGTCACTTTAATTATTGCTTTGTAAATTTTTGATACTTGGTTTCAGTGTAATTGTACCACTCATCCATCTTTGTAGAATATTTCTTGATGGTTTCATTGATTTTTTTCCCCCAAATGAGCTTTAAAATGATTTTTGTTGAGTATTAAGTAAATCTATCTTGAGAGGATCTTGATTGAGAATGTAATACATTTGTAAATTACTTTGAGAAGTTGATTCTTTTACAGTATGTATTTTCCCCATTCTGGAATTTGGAATGTCTCCTACGAACCTATTTTAAAAATCAAGGCCTTGTACCAAAGGGTCGGGGCGCCTGGGTGGCTCAGTCGGTTGGGTGGCCGACTTTGGCTCAGGTCATGATCTCACGGTTCGTGGGTTCGAGCCCCACATCGGGCTCTGTGCGGACAGCTAGCTCAGATCCTGGAGCCAGTTTCAGATTCTGTATCTCCCTCTCTCTCTGACCCTCCCCTGCTCATGCTGTGTCTCTTTTCTCTCTCAGGAATTTAAAAAATAAATAAATAAATAAAGTCAAAGGTTTGAATGCTGAATAGTAAATAGATTTCTAATGTGATCTATAGTTTTTCTATAGTACTGACACATAGCTTTGTATTTTATATTATTACTATATTATGAAGTCTCAATTTTTCAAAGGTGCAGAAGTCTTCAGCAGTTTGGAAAGGAGGGAGTGGTTATCATGAGTCACCATCATGCATTTCTAGATACTTTCTCAAAGCTAGGAAGTATGTGTTTCTCATAGATGATGTGTGTGATACAGATGACCTTTTTTGAAGTGGTATTCAAAACACTAGATTCGAGCTAACGGGTAATGTACATTAAAGCAAGAGTAACCTGGATGAATCTTAACCAAAACATGAATGAAAGGTCTCTTATTTTCTTTCTTATTTTTTTAAATGTTTGTTTATTTTTGAGGGTGTGTGTGAGAGAGAGTGCAGGGAATGGATAGAGAGAGAGGGGAGAAGTCGGATCTCTCTGACAGCAGAGAGCCCAATCTGGAGCTTGAACTCAGTAACCGTGAGATCGTGACCTGAGCTAAAGTCGGATGCTTAACTGACTGAGCCACCCACGTGTCCTGAGATCTCTAATTTTCTGATGTGGTTCAGTAGAATACTTCGTATTCCTGTGCAATTTTTTTTATTGTCTCAACATTAATTGTTTCACAATAGTTTGACAGTTAATGACTATGCTTTGACTTAAATATGTAATATTTGTGTATTATACTTTTCAGGTGATATTTCTTTTATTGAAGTAACTTTTCTTTCTTCTTCTGACAGAGATCTATTAGATCTTTTGCCAACGATGATCGCCATGTTATGGTGAAACATTCAACAATCTATCCATCTCCAGAGGAACTTGAAGCTGTTCAGAATATGGTGTCTACTGTTGAATGTGCTCTTAAACATGTCTCAGATTGGCTTGATGAAACAAATAAAGGCACAAAAACAGAGGGCGAGACAGAAGTGAAGAAGGATGAGGCCATAGACACCTATTCCAAGTGAGTGTGGCCTGACCTCTGTGATGCTTTACTGCTGTGCTCAGAAAAGCTCAGGGTCCTGTTCCTCTGGGTTATGTTAGGTTTATGGTGCTCTTTAGGTTTTCTCCTTTAGATGACTGTAGACAAGGAAGTAAATGTTTGTGGAATTTTTCTGAGTTACATTTGAAAAGAAAGCAAGAAAGGAATAATAATTAGACCAGGAAAAGAAGATGGACTTGTTCAGGATGCCTTTTGAGAGTGCACCAAGCCCTTTAAAATTGCCATTTCTGGAGAATATGAAATGTCACCTTTTTCATGTGTTGGTTCAGCCTCCTAAATTCAGAAATAAATAGTTGTGTTTTTGGTCTCTGGGGAAATCATAAAATGTCATTTTTCTTTTTTTTTAGGTATTTAAAAGCCCTGGGGGAGAAGAAAGAATGCAGGAAAATGTGTTCTAAATGTATTTTTGACCACATCTACATTGTTGATTCCCAGTATTCAGCACAGTGTCTTGCTTATTGGATATTTGGGGAATGAGTGGAGGACTAACGGGAGCCAGAGCCTTCAGCAGTTACAGCAGAGTATTCTCAGTGCTGTAACAGTATTAAGAGATGAGTTAGATGAAGCTGCATAACTGGAGTCATATCATGGAACTTTGTATGCCATAATATTAAGCTTATTGTCTTGAGCAACGTCATTATGATTGGAATAAGTATGATTTACTTTAAAGGAGAAGCTCATGACTTACTGTATTTATAGGATTAAGAGCATTACTTTGGCTACAACTTATAACTTGAAGATTAGAGGTTATAGAATTTTTTCTCCACCTTTCAGTTCTAAATGTTAGATAAATAAGGGGACGCCTGGGTGGCTCAGTTGGTTGAGTGTCTGACTCTTGATTCTGGATCAGGCCATGATCCCAGGGTCGTGGGATTGAGCTCTGCATCAGGGTCTGCTCTGAGCATGGAGCCTGCTTATGATTCTCCTTCTCCCTCTCCCTGTGTCTGCATGCACTCTTTCTAAAGAAAGAAAGAAACAACAGTGATAAATAGATAAAGAATAGTGGAGAAGTATTGATAAACTGATTTTCTCCACTGAAGGATAGTGTAACCTTTTATCTTCAGAGGCAAGATAATCAATTTTAATTTTCAGCTGAAGAACATAATTCTTTAACTTTGTTAACTCTTTACAGGTAATGTCTACATTGTGTATAGTCCTAGCCTTGTCAGTTTGAAGGTTCTTGGCAGTAATTCAGTTTTTTCTTGCATATGATGGTTTTAAAATAGATAATTCCAAATTTTGAGGATTATATTAATTAGTAGTAGTATGCAGTAATCTAGTCCCAGTCTCTGTGCAAGTTAAATAGTCATGCACTCCTTATTTAAATTGTACTTTGGGGCCACCTGGGTGGCTCAGTCATTTGAGCATCAGACTTCAGCTCAGGTCATGATCTCATAGCTCATGGGTTTGAGCCCTATGTTGGGCTTGGTGGTGACACCTCGGAGCCTGGAGCCTGCTTTGGATTCTGTGTCTCTGTCTCTTTCTCTGCCCCTCTCCTGCTCCCCCCCCCAAAAAAAAAAGAAACATTAAAAAAAATTTAGGGGCATTTGGGTGGCCCAGTTGGTTGAGCTTCCAACTCAGCTCCAGTCATGATCTCATGGTTGGTGAATTTGAGCCCTGCATCAGGCTCTGTACTGACAGCTCAGAGCCTGGAGCCTGCTTGCAGTTCTGTGTGTCCTTCCCTCTTTGCTTCTCCCCTGCTTGTACTCTGTCTCTCTCTCTTCAAAAATAAATAAATATTTTAAAAAATTTTTTTAAATAAAATAAAAAATTTAAATTGTACTTTGGAATGTGTTTATGCCCTTTCAAAAACTTTTAAATTTTTTGGTGAAATATATATAACAAAATTTGCCATTTTTACCATTTTTATTTTTATTTATTAAAAAATTTTTTTTAATATTTATTTTTGAAGGAGGAGGGGGAGGGGCAGAGAGAGGGGAAGACACAGAATCTGAAGCAGGCTCCAGGCTCTGAGCTGTCAGCATAGAGCCCAGTGTGGGGCTTGAACTGTAGAGCCGTGAAATCATGACCTGAGCTGGAGTTGGATGCTCAACCGACTGAGCCCCCAGGCCCCCCATACCATCTTGCAGCGAGAGAATCCCAAGCAGGCTCTAAGCTGTCAGTGCAGAGCCTGATATGGGGTTTGATCCCAGGAACCCTGAGATCAAGAGTCAGAGGATTAACCATTTAAAAAAAAATGTTTATTTTTGAGAGAGAGTTGATGCAGGAGAGGCACAGAGAGAGAGAGGGAGACAGAATGTGAAGCAGGTTCTGAACTGTCAGCCTGATGCAGGGCTCAAACCCACAAACCATGAAATCATGACCTGAGCCAAAGTCGGACCCTTAACCAGACTGAGCCACCCTGATGCCCCAGATGCTTAACCATTTTTAAAAAAATGTTTTATTTGTTTGTTTGTTTATTTGAGAGAGAGAGAAAGACAGCATGAGCAGGGGAGGGTCAGAGAGAGAGAGAGGGAGACACAGAATCCGAAGACAGGCTCCAAGCTCTGAGCTAGCTGTCAGCACAGAGCCTGATGCAGGGCTTGAACCCACAAACTGTGAGATCATGACCTGAGCTGAAGTCGGACCCTTAACTGACTGAGCCACCCAGGTGCCCCGATGCTTAACCATTTTTAAGTGGAGTTTCATTTATTATTGGAATTCAGGCCTTCTTAATACTTCTGTTGTTTATTTTTAAGGCCAGACAGACTTTTGAAAAGTGTTCCAGCAGACTTTTGCTTAACTGGATCAGGTCACTGTGTTTTTAAAAGTTTTTAAAATATAGTGTGCTCCACATTTTCATTTGGACTTGTAAATATAGCTCTATGTGTGGGTACTCTTGACTGTCTTCGTAAAGTCTTTCCCTTTTGTGAACAGTCCCAGGTTGACCACTTTTCTGTGATTCCTCCTATGTGGGAGAGCTCAGGGAGTGTAGAATGTTTGTATCCTTATTTTGTTTAAAACAGAGGCAGGTACATCCTCCCGGAACAGAGCTATTTTCTGATTATAAACACAAATTGAGCTCCTGATGTATGCTAATTTCCATAGAGAGCACCAAGGTAGGTGAGGGCTAGCTTCTATTTATTAAGCACCTTCTATTGCCAGCCACTGTTAGTTTTTACCTGTGTGCTCTTTTTACAAACTGACACAAAAGTCAAAAGTCCCACTATTTGTATTATTAGGAATATTAGGGCTCTGTTCTTAATTTTAAGTAATATCCTATATTTACTTTACAATATCTCCTATATTCTGATTCAGGACTAAAGTAAGAGTTCATTTTTCTGCTCAGTCATGCTGTCTTCTGCTTTAGACCAAGTAATATGATATAGTATGACCAAGTAATTATGATATAGAGTTTAGTAGCAACTAATAATGGTTAGTTAATGGGGCGCCTGGGTGGCTTAGTCGGTTGAGCATCCGACTTTCGCTTAGGTCATGATCTCGCGGTTCGTGGGTTCGGGCCCCGCGTCGGGCCCTGCGTCGGGCTCTGTGCTGTTAGCTCAGAGCCTGGAGCCTGTTTCAGTCTGTGACTCCCTCTCTCTCTGACCCTCCCCTGCTCACGCTGTCTCTCTCTCTCTCTTTCCCCTAGAAATAAATAAAACATTAAAAAAAAATAATAATAATGGTTAGTTAATAATGGCTACTATTTATTGAATGCCAGTTATCGTACCAGACTGTTTTTCACATTATCTTACAACAAATCTGTTAGTCTTTGTTATTATCATCCCCCTCTTAAGCCCCCATTTTACTATAGAAATTTCTACTTCTTCAAATTTGCATCTGAAAAGAGTAGCTCAGAATCATTAACAAACTTTAACTTGCTTTTTAAGGTCAATAAATGAGTGTGTGTGGTGGAGTCAGAATTCTTATTCATCTGTTGGACCCCAGGTCCAGTTTTATTAGCATCTTTGCCTCAAATTTCTGTGACTAAAATGTGAAAGTGTAGATCAGGGAAAGATTGTATGCTGGTTCTGGGGATCAGAAAAAACTTGATGAAGGAAGTAGTATTTGCTCAGAGGATGGGTAGGCTTTCTGCAAGCAGTTGAAAGTGGAAAAAAAAAAAAACAACAACAAAAAAAACACCTCAGCAAATATCTAGGTGTGTGAAAGCGTAGGGACCATTTAGGGAATGATAGCTATTATTTATTGAGCTATTAATATATGCCAGGATCTGGGCTAATAAGTTCATTACTTATATTAAATTACGTGATATTCTTAGTACCACTCTGTCAGGAAGATATTTTTCCTTTTATACCAGTGAGACTTACAAATGAGTAAGTTCAGAAGAGTCAGGTAATTTGTAAATTTTTTTTTTTTTTTTAGGTAATTTGTAATTTGCCCAGTGTCACAATAGTGAGTGGCAGAGCCAGAATCTGAACCAGGAAGGCATGATGTCTTCTCAGTCGCCTCCCAGGATGTTAAGTGTTTAAGTGTTCAGTGGGACCCCTGGAAAGAAGTAGATAAAGTACCATCCGTGCAGTGCTTTTGGAAGATTATTCTGGTAGTGGTGTACTGTATAGAGTAGATGGGAGGTGGCAGAAGATAGTCGTTAAGGCCAGTGAAGAGGTGGTTATGGAGGTAGTCTAGGGGAGAGGCAGTGGGAGCCTGAAAAGAAACTAGTTTGAAGGCATTTGTTCCAGGGTGATTGTGGAGGGTGAATTTATCAACGGTTATTAGTTTTGGGAGAACAAGAAGATGAGAGAACAGGGATACAGAAGAAGAAAGAATCAAAGGCAGTGGACTCTCTTCTTAGTATCAAATAATTTCCTATTCGGGTCACTTGCTTTAAAACCCTTTTTCTTTCTATATTTGTACCACCCTTATAGTTTTTTATTCATTTAATGTTCATTGAATCTCTGAGGTGTGCCAGCCACTAACCAGTCTGGATTATTTATAACTTCCTGTCTTATTTTTGCTGCCACAATTTGTTTCTCTTCCTTCTCCTTTCTGTAGTTCATTCTCTACTCTGTTGATTCTTTGCCCTAGCCAGAGTGACCTTTTTTCTCTCTAACCATATTAAGGTTGCTGAAGGCAGACTTTCAGGTTCCCTTGTTTGACCTCTCTAATTTTGACCTCTTCTTTTTCTGAACTTGGGAAGCAACCATAATTATGTAAAGAATCTGAGTGTTGTGTTCACACTAACATGAGTTTGAATCTGGCCTTTGCCTTTTACTGTCTTTCTGAACTTGAACAGTTAGCTTTTCTGAGACTCACATTCCTTGTCTTTCAAATGCAGACTTGTGAAGTTTAAATGAGAGTTTCTGGTGCACAGTTTCTTCTCGGATGTTACTTTCTCTTCCCCTTTTAAGCAGGTTACTTTTTGTACTTAACTACAGTGTAAACCTCAGGTCAGGAGCAGGGGAGATTGGATTTCCTTTAGTATGGTTTCTGTTCTCAGAGGCTAACTTGTTGAATGGCTGCTAAAATTAGTTACATTTTCGTGATATGGGAAATGAACCAATAAGAGAGTTTTAGTATTAAAATCAAGGATAGATGTTAATATTATTTTTATACACCATTTCATGACTATGTTCTTTGAATATTTGTTCTTTTAGCCACAACTGGATTTGGAATGCATATACTGGCAGAATATCTTTGGTCTGTTCCTTCTTTCCTCAGCTCTTTAGGTTCATTGCATTATTCTGCTTTCCCCATAATCTTTTGTGGATTCCTAGAATGATACAGCTAGAAGGCTCCTGTAGTTGAGAGCTGTTTTGTAGTTATGGATACTGAACCAGCAGGCTCTGGTCTACTCTAAGAGTAGAGATCAAGTCTTTTAGATTTCCACCCTGATACTCTTTTTCAGTATACTTTGGTGTTCAGGTTTTCACAAACTCTTTAATTACTAATAAAAATATAAAAGGAGGAAGTTTAGAATTAATTTTAAAAATGTTTAAGGGGATATAGTATTTAGGGACTTTGTTAAGCACTATAGATGTAATAAAGAATTAAAAGATCTGTACTATGAAATATGCTCCCTGTCGATTCCTTGGGGAAGAGAGATACTTTATTAGCCTTAATTTTTTTAACTGTTTTTTTTTTTTTTTATTTATTTCTGAGAGAGAGAGACAGCATGAGCAGGGGAGGGTCAGAGAGAGGGGGAGACCAGAATCTGAAGCAGGCTCCAGGCTCTGAGCTAGCTGCCAGCACAGAGCCCGACGCAGGGCTCGAACCCACGAACCATGAGATCATGACCTGAGCCGAAGTCGGATGCCCCTATTAGCCTTAAATCTGAGACTTAATTTTTGATCATATGACTGCCCAGGAAGCCAAGTGATGATTAAATTATAGCTTGGGAAGTAGATTGTAAAAGTAATCATTTAGACTTTTATTTTTAGGGATCAAGGTGGTCGGACATTGTGTGGTGTAATGAGGATTGGCCTGGTTGCAAAAGGCTTGCTGATTAAAGATGATATGGACTTGGAGCTGGTTTTAATGTGCAAAGACAAACCCACAGAGACCCTGTTAAATACAGTCAAAGATAATCTTCCTATTCAGATTCAGGTGAGTAGAGTTTAATTGCACCTCTAGGAGAATTTATAAAAATGTGAAAACAGGTAGTGACCTTGATGAAATCAATAATAAGAAATTGGTAATAGTAAAGGCTAGGATACAGACAAAAGGAATGCTGCTACTCTGGGTCAGTGACTCATCCATCACATTTAAAACAAATTTCTGATTGTTAGTACTCTGGATATATTTATCTGATGAAGATAGCCTTCAGTTTTCAGGTGTCTTGCTTCAGAGGCTTCATGTTTTTCAAACTAGGTCTCAGCATTATAAACCTCTTGGAAGGGTTGGTATAATGCAGGAAAGATCAAAATGAGCCTAGACAACTAGCGACTTTTGTAGGTGATAACTTTTAAAATTGAAAAACCCAGTTAATTTAATAGTCACCCATTCATTCATTCAGTTAATGGAAAAGTCACTGTTAATTCCTTGTTCCAAACCTTTTTCCAATTGGATGCTTTTAGAAAAATTTTTATATTGGCAAGGTTTTTGGAGTATGCTGTTGTGAAGTCAGAAGGCTCCTCAGGGCTGAAGGCAACGGGTTGGGCTGGGGCTGGGGCCACCCTAGGACCTGCTCCAAGGCCAGCTGCGTCACTGTTTGGGAAACTGGTCACTTTTCAGTTTCAGATGTGTTGTCAGTGGTATAGTTAGATTGTAGCTTTTTGATAATTTCATATTGGTAGTCTTTATATTCATGTCACATAAATAGATAATCAGCCCACAGGGTCCCGCAAAGTCCTTTGAATTGAATGCTCTCTTTTCTTTAGTCGGCTTCTTTTGTAAGCCGACTACTTCTTTTTCCCTCCAAGTAATATGAATTCTAAATTTGTTTTTATTTGCTCTGTTACTGGATAATTTTCTTTCATGCTTACCAGTTGGTCTTTAAAACCAGCTTCCTGACTTTTTTATCTGCTGTTCTTGGCACTCAAATTTGTGTTAACTTGTTGACACATTTACCTATATTAATTTTTGGAGCACTGTTTTTCATTTTGCCTTAGATCTTAAAATAAGGTTTTCTAGGTGACTGAACATATATTTGGTTTTTCCATTTTTATTTCTCATGAAGAAATTTTTTTGGACTTTGAAAGGGTTAAATTTACTCTAAGAAATTATTTTAAGTCCTTTTGTTATCATTTGGGGAGGGAGAGTGGTGAGTATCATGGAGTACAATAGGGCTTTTAAGAAGCAGCTCAATAATGAGTTTCTGGCTAATTATACTTTTTGTTATTAGAATGTTAATAAAATTCCTCATTTCTGTTTTTTATATTTTAAAATTTAATCGGTATTCCTGCTTTTATTGTGGTGAACACTGTTGCTCTTAAATTAAATCTAGGGTAAAATAGTAATCCAAGGGTGGGACATGGAGGTTTCAACCATCCCACCTCCATTCCTGCTCCCTGCAGTGAGTGCTGTTTCTTATGAGAGTGGTCTTACTCCTCAGCTGTGCCAGGGTGGAAAAGGGATTAAGAACCAGGGCTATAATAAGCAAAGGTTCATATTCTGAAAATCTTATCACATGTCTCCAGTATTGATATGAGAGATTGGGTCACATTTCAGTATGCATTAATAGAGCTTTCTCTGTGCTGATCACAACTGTGTAAACTCGGCATTTTTTCTCCCCTCAGCAAGGGTCTTTATTTCTGTGCACCACAGTTTTATAATGTTTTTGTTGAGCTCACAAGTAAGTGTTCAAGGGAATGACCCAGGAGAGAGTACAGTCTCTGTAAACCATTTAAATTTGAAGAGACTGAGGCTTTTTAGGCTGCAAAAGACCAAAAAAAAAAAAAAAAAAGACGTAAAATACCTTTTAATCTTTGAAGGGCTTTTTTTAGATAAGGTATAAGAGGCCTGAGAATGGTATTTCACTTTTATATAGCCAATAGAATCATCCAACCCTTGAAACCAGCTGCTTTGTGTGATGGTTAGATCCATTACTATACGTATTTGGGTAAAGGTCCCCAAGTGAAATGGGGACAAAATTGTACCCCCATCTCAGATTAAATTGTATACATGTACACATATATGCCCATATACATACACACAAACACATTACTATTATTATGGTTAATATTTTAGAAAGTCATTTTAAGTGTGATTGCTCTCTGCCTCCCTGTTTGTTGTTTTCTTGGTGTTTGTTTGGAAAACAGGTTTCTGATATGATAACCTTATTTTCTTATGAATTAAAAATCTTTTTCCTTACCACTTACCATAGGAAAACTTTCAGTAATCTAAGTACCTTAATTAATTGAAGTTGTACTATAGCTTTTCTCTGTATACTCCTTTCTAGGTTGATGTTAGAACTTCCTTGAACCCAAAACTTATACCGTGGTGATCTGCATGCATAGTTGAAAACTTAGTTTGACTAATTTTCTGCTGCACATCTTTAATGTTATTATAGTGGCAATGGGAGGAGCAGTTTTCTGCTTTTTCTCTTTATAATCTAGTTCTGGTTTTTCCAGTTACTGTGTGGCCTTTCCCTTTCTTGGTTTCCTTTATTCAAAATTAAGATAATGAATTTTCTCTTTGCTATCTTTTTTGATGTAAATGTTTAATGGCAAAATGCTATTTTTATGAAAATGGCTTTGAGTTCTTTTAGTGCACACTAATGAGAAACCTAGTAGTGTTTCCGTTCAGCTATTTATGTCAGGTAATAGATATAAATTTCACCACCCAGAAAGACCTTATGTAAATTATTAAACTATATGTTTAATGTATAATATTAAGTATAATGTAATATGTGATTCTAACTGTTGATTATTTTGCGGGAGGTCCTTGAATTATGTATGTATAATTATATGTTAAATGATGCAGTGTGTTTCTCTGTGGATGTCAGGTGATGTGCCCCATAATGCTAGGTCTCACTGGAGTGATCTCTCTGAGACCTACCTATCCTTTGCAAAAGGAAGTTTCTTGTTTATACTAATTTTTTCCCTGGTAAGTGACAGTGTAGAGATCCATTTTCATTCTTTCTTACTTAATTCTCTTTAAAAATATATGTAATCTTATATAAAAATCAATTAATTTTATATTTGTAAATCCTTAGCAAGCAGCAGTTCTTTTGAGCTGGTCCGGTCAAAAAGGGATGTGGTTTAGAGAGCATTCTCAGCAGTTTATTGTTCTACAGTTCTCTGTAAGAATAACAATATATCCGTTACCACATAATGATCCTGTTGGTGTTTTTCTTTCAAATAATAGAAAGAATGGTTTTAAAGATGGTTTAATAATTGCATACATGGTTGACATTGTGATTGCTTTTTGAGGGGTGAAGATTTGTTGGTAAATTGAGAGGAGAGAGAAATGTTATTCCAAAGAACTATTAAAGACTGCTCTTTCAGCACAGTAATACTAGCAAAGAACATTTGAAAACTAAGAGTCAGTCATTCATGTTTTGAGATTTTAATCTAATTGGGTGTTTTTGAAATCTTGGTGACTTTCAGAAACTCACAGAAGAGAAATATGAAGTGGAACAATGTGTAGATGAGGCTTCTATTATAATTCGGAATACAAAAGAGCCCACGCTAACTTTGAAGGTGATACTTACTTCCCCTCTAATTAGGGACGAATTGGAGAAGAAGGATGGAGGTACACATGTATATATATTTGTTTTGTTCACTTAAGTCCTCTCTTGAGTGCTGTGTTAAGTGTGCTTTATGGATTTCAGAAGTAACTATCTTCATTCGTTTTATGCCTCTCATAGTATCTTAAAGAGCTTAATTGCTGCGTAATTGCCATATTTTGTAAAAATGTATACATTTGAAATATACGTTAATTCAGAAACCTATTATTATCAAGTTGGTCTTAACTCTGCTTTTATTTTTATACTATTTATAGTGTTTTGTTTCACTGTGTCTACTATTGCACTGTGATTGGTATCAGCCAGTCTATTCTATGTAGTTTGGCTATTTGGTCTGATTTTAGGATTAAATGTCCAGAAAAATAATGTTTTCAAATTTACTTATTGTTTCAAATTACTCCTTTGCACGTTGCTTTTGACTTCTAATAACTATTATAATCTCGTAAGATTTATTCTTTACCTAATTGTCCGTGGGTACATATGTTTTATAATGTAAGAGATCTAAATTGGGGGGATTGTATTCTAAAAATTAATCTTCAGTAAATTTTTTTCTACAAGTTTGCGATCCTGTTAACATTTTGTATATGACATAGGTGGGGATTATGCTTTAAATTAATTTTCTTCTGAAGTTAAAAAGAATTCTTATGTGGATGGCAGTGTCATCCTCATACAAGTAGAGTGAGAAGTCTGTTCGGTTCTGAGAAGGAATAATGGAACCGGGCTTCTTTTCTGATGTTTTTATCCTGTCAAGTTAGCTTGTTTCAGCCTCTCTGTCCTATCCCTAGAAACACTTGCCCTGTGATATTTGTGCCATGTCAGACCTTTGACCAACTGGCCCCTCTCTGCCATGATAATTTAGAGGCAGTGTGGCCTGTCTGGGCCAGCAGGGGCTCCCTTTTGCTGTTCATCACTAGACCTTTACCAGCTCCCACTGCTTACTCCCCTACCTGAAACACCAATGCAGTAGGAAATATTGGTCAGTTTCCTTATTTATGTCAATTTGATGATAATAAAGGTGTAGTAAAAGACACATTAGTGATGTTAGAATTTAGAGTTTAGGCAGACATGACTCATAGGATCTGCTAAAGTAAAAGTGATAGACTCTGTTTAAAAAAAGTTTTTTGTGATAACTAAAATCAGCTGTACCATACCCAACAGATATAAACTAGACACATAATGAGTCATATTTCAAAATTAAAGTGCATCCAATCTGTAATTGGGTTTATGCCAGTACTTTCTTTTCTCTTCTTTTCTTTTTTCATCTTTTTTTTGCTATATATTGTATCTGTAATACTTCTGAAGAACCAGTCTTAAGCAGCTTAATTTCTTTAAAACAGCTTTATAGTTCACCACTAACTGTAGACCTATAAAATGATTTCTGAAGTGTCAAGATAATTCTGTTAATTCTGATAAGCTGTGTTCTACTTGACCCTCTAGTGTAAAGGCAACCACTTCTAAGAATAGTTATAATTATAGGTATTATTAACAACAGAGATAGTATAAAGAGATGAGAAAAAGACCAAAATCGCCTAAGACTAGATTAATTATACATCTGCTTATAGCTGTAGGCATCTCTTTTGTTATTTCTTTGAAAATGTTAAGAGAACATTAGGTTTTTTCCCCCCCTGGTTTTGTGTACTTATGTGAGATTACATCATAGTTTTCTTTGATACCCTTAAGTTTAGTCTGTTGCCTTTATAACTTTAATTTCTGTTGACAGAAGCTGGAAACAAATTCTTTTTTTTTTTTAATTTTTTTTTTAATGTTTTATTTATTTCTAGGAGAAAGAGAGAGAAAGCGTGAGCAGGGGCGGGTCAGAGAGAGAGGGAGTCACAGACTGAAACAGGCTCCAGGCTCTGAGCTGGCAGTCAGCACAGAGCCCGACGCGGGGCTCGAACCCACGAAACGCGGGATCATGACCTAAGCGAAAGTCAGACGCTTAACCGACTAAGCCACCCAGGCACCCCTGGAAACAAATTCTTAATGTATAGCACCCTTACTAGAAGACTCGTTCTTATAGAATGGAATTTGTAGTAAAGTGGGGGAGTCATAGTTTCTGTTCAGAGTGTTCGAGTTACTAAGGGATCCCAAGACCCTTATGAGGTCAGTTTCATAAGCTGATAGTAACGTTATTGTGTGGGCTCGGATAAGGTGAAAGAATCTGCCTGGATCTGATGTGTAAAACACATTACTTCCTCTCGTTTTGATGGCAGAAAGATTTGCTTTGCAGATGTTGTCCTTAACCTCTCAACCGTGTTGACTCACTGTTACCTCTTATAATTTGCACATTTTGTCTAACCTGGGCTTTTTCAAAATGCATTTTGATCTGCACTGCAGTTTCGGGTATTCCTGAGCAACTTTGAGGACCCAGCATGATTGAGCATTTGAGACCTGGGCTATACGATTCTGTAGGACTTGGTTCCTCATACAGGACAGCTCCTCCTGCCTTGATGCAGTTCTTTTCAGCTGCAGGGGGTAAAGGTACAGGATTCATTTGGGTTCCAGGAATTTCTAAGACTGCGAGATATACCCCTTTTCAAAATGTCCACTCATTTTTTTCCCATCAAAGTTTAAAAAATATGCGATGTAACTTTCTTTGAGGAGACATTTTCCTATGGAATCTCAGCATCTCCCCTCCCCACAAAACAAACCAACTGTTCACAGTACATACACACACCATCTCTTCCCTTCTCTTCACTTGGTACATGTTTGGGTAAAATCTAAAAAAATGGAAAAAAGCGTGGTTGCAAGCAGGGAGAACCGGAGGCCTGGGGCAGGTGAAAACATCACACTTCCCTCCTCAGGGTTGTCTCTGCAGAAGCGGGTCTAACTGTTTACTCACATCACTGTTTATGTTTTCAGTGGCCAGACTGTGGAGTGAATCTTTTTGTATTGTTTACTATTTCACAGATAAGATTCCTCCTGTGCTGTCCGTCTTCTTGCCACACTGTGACCCTTTACTTGGAGGCCCTGTAGAATAACGATTCCTCATCATTGTATGCTTCCTGCTCAAGAAGGCATTGGAGAAAAAGCACAGATCTTAGTGCCTGGTAGTCAGGTGTTTGATTCTTAACTTCATTATGTACTTTTTAAAAAATATTTTTTTATTAAGTTTATTTATTTATTTTGAGAGAGAGAGAGAGCGAGAGAAAGAGCATGCACACGTGCACATTGGGAGCGGGGCAGACAGAGAAAGGAGAGAGAGAATCCCAAGCAGGCTCTGTGTGCTATCAGCACAAAGCCTGATGCAGGGCTCAAACCCACAGACTGTGAGATCATGACCTGAGCCAAAATCAAGAGTCAGACACTTAACTGACTGAGCCATCTGGGTGCCCTGTTAACTCCATTAGGTATTCTTGCTGTGTGATCTTGAACAGGTTTCTTCATTTTGAATTGTAGGTAATAAATACTTGAAATAGTAGTTTGAGGTCAAATGAGAGAATTTGTGTAATGTGACCTGTGTAATACCCAGCACAAAGTATTTGCTCAATAAATAGTGGTAACTACTCTTACTCAGCTTACTAAAAAAAGGTGCTCAGTGCAAGCTCACTCACTCAAACTGCCTGGAGTTCACAGTGAGAATGATATGTACTTGATAGGTCTGAGGAACTGAACCCAAACACAGGTAAACTCTTACACATCCACTGAAGTGTAGTATTAGAATCAGTATTCTGTATTTGCTGCAGTGCTAATAATGAGCCAACTTGTTATGTAGCTTATGATTCATCAAGGGCAGGTATGTTGTTCCCTACCCATGTCCTTTAACCCTAGTGCCCGGCGTGGTACCTCATACATACTAGGCGACCACCCAAATCTGTTAAATGAATTTTTATAGTGAGCACATTGCCTGATTAAACATGACTGTCTGGTGTGTAAGAAGCATTAACAATGGGCATCTTGATATCCAAGTAGTATATATTGAAGATTTAGCTGTGTTAAAGTATTTTATAACTTACTGTGTTAGAAGCCATTCTCAGATATGATTTAACCTTCCCAACAGCTCTGTGAGGTAGATAATCGCCCTGTTTGATAAATGAAGAAAGTCTCCCATTTCCCCCGGCTCCTCCCACATTGAGTCCAGTGTACCCTGTGCTCCCATTACTCTCTAGAAGGAGTGCAGGAGCCTCTTAGCTGATTTAATTATTCTCAGCCTTACACACTCTTAGCTTCTTTTGGTGCTTGTGATTTTAAGAAGTAAAAGCTGTGCAGGTAGTCGGTGAGCTGTTTATTACATTTACAGTGCAGTGTGAAACCAGGTGGATAGGGACCCTACAGAGACTCTTGTGACTTAGGCTAAGGGGACCCTCTGTCCTCACTAGTGGGGTAGATTTTTAGGGGTTCACAGAGAAGTTCCCCAAGAGTCCCTTTTCACGTATGGTGCCACTGTGAACTTCTGACATGTCTTGACGTTTCACTAGCATGAGCTCTGCTAAGTGGAAGGCAGTAGATCCTCACAGCCCAGAGATCACAACTGGGATAATAACGATGCAGTCGGCTTTAGTTTCCTGCCTGCCACAGGTGCTAGACCCACAGTATCCAGTGCAAACCCTGAGCCATTATCTTTCCAGTGGCCGACTGCCTACTGAGGCATTGAAGAAAAGTTACCGAGTGATATTTCTACCATAAATTAGGAGAACCGTGCTGTCTCTGTTCTACCTTAGTGCTTCATTATACTGTCCGCAGTATTGTGGCCGGATGTTTTGCATGGACACTGGTTGGGTGCCTAATATCTGCTCTTCACAAAGCCTCAAGGAATTGAGAGAAGGGGCTGCCAGGATATCCTCAGGCTAACTAGAAAATTCTCTCGGCATGAACTCAGTAGCCCAGCTCCATCTAGATTTTCAAGGAGGCCTTTATGATAATCCAGCATAACTGTTTTATGTTTGAAGAGCCCCGGTTCTACACCTGTAACTTTCATTTAACACAGTGCTGTTTTGGCTTTCACCACCCCATCACCCCGCCCCAAGACAGACTAGTGTTTTGTTAGGAGGCAGAGAGTTAGCTTGCATGTAAAGGGATTGAGAAACTGGCCAACATTTCCTGCAGTTTGGTGTGTTTCTGGTCACCAATCTAACCTCTAACCAAGTAAGCAAAGTTAGCATAATAGACTTGTCTTCCAGTGCCTCCATTATTCAGAATGTTTTCTGTACCTTCATGCCCTCTGCCAGGTTACTGAGCAATACATTTTTAAAAGCTGTTTTCCTTTGCTTTTGGCATTTTTGTCACTCCCCAAACCCATCCCTTCTGCTGTTTCTCATCTGTTATACTGCTCACTGTAGGAAAATGAAATGGCTCACCGTCCCATTGTTTGTAATTTAAAGACTCCAAATGTCTTTTTATCAGAAAAGTTTTTCTTCTCCACAAAATTGAAACACCTGTGTTAAAGTTCATATGGAAATATTAAGCTTCAGGTTCTGCTATGAGAAGTATCATTGTTTTACTGCAGCAAGCCTGTGATAACCATGTTAAGTTATTTTTCTTTATAAAAAAAATATAAAACTATATTATCTTTATACAAAGCAAATAGGCAAGCAGGGCTTATAAGTAGCACTGCAGTGCCATGTGAATTTATACGTTTTAAAATAAGAAGCTTTGAAGAAGACAAAATGAGATGAGTTATTACATCTCCTGTCCTGTTTCCTACCTCATGAATATTGAAACATTTTGGATCTTTGGACTTTTTGACTATGAGAGCATGAAGAAACATGGCCATTCTGGTGGTGATGTAAAGGGAGTCCAGTGCAAGCCTTCTGTTCACTGCCTGTGCCTTTCCTCTTTTTAGCAGAATCTACTGCCTCCAAATGTTGACTGTCTGTAGCAAGATGATGTCTCTTATCTTTTTCTGTAAGAGCTTATGATTATAATCTGACCTTGGGGATGAAAGAATTTATCTAAATATTTTTGCCATTGTTCCCCTTTTTAAATATCTCTGTTGCAGTGAGCATAAGATGTTATATATAAGCTGCGACCACTGGATGGAAGTTCCAGAAAGGTCAAAAAGAGCTTTGGTTTGCCTTGTCCTTTCCTATCCAAACTTCTTCTGACTCACTTCTGTCTTCCATTGCCTTGTCCCCCACCCCCCACTGTCCCAACACTCCTTCTAAGATGATTGAATAAAACTTAGCTTGCATTATTTTTAATTTGAAGATTGAAGTCTAAAAATAATAAAAGTACCATCCCTGCCTCTTCTTGAGATTACATGATTTGGCAGTCAGTCAGCCTTTGTCATGTCTAACTTTTAAGAGATTCTAATCATTCATTTACAGTAGTTTGTTTTATCTGGTACATGAGAGCTTTACACAGATGCTTGTATTGACCACAGTTAAGCATTTTGACATAAAAACATTAAAATGAGTTCGTTGTATGTTTTATGTTATTAAAAAGACAGAATTAAGCAAATCCAGGAACTAGATCATTGATGAAGTGAATACCCATAGTATATGGCTGCATATGTCTGTCTGTGTTTATAAATTACGTTAATAGGTGTTTTTTTTCTTGAGGCTTCCCATTTTATGAGTAAAAAGGGCCAATGAAATGAGAGCCTGTGTCGGGGCTTTGTTGGCAGAGGTTAATGTGAAACAATGCAAATATCTGCTGCAGAGCTCACCTGGTCAGAAAATATGTAGCACTTCAGCCTTTAGAGTGTTGCAGCTGATAGAGCTTCAGTTTATTCTTTCATAGATTTGTTTCATAGATTTGTTTTCTCTTGGGCCTTTGGTTTTAGTTAATGGCAGTCTGTCAGAATATATAGTACAGTTGCCTTAATAGAATCTTATAATAACTGAGGAATCCAAAAAGTATCAGTGATCTTGCATCACATTTAAAAATATTTATAATGTACCAGTTGGCCCATACAAACATACTATCTTCTGTGACCGTTATGCATATATTAGGAAAAAGTATTGGGTGGACTCTTCTATATCTGGCAGAGTTCTTAAATGAGAACGGTGCATCTGATTTCATTAGGTTAGACAAAGAATTATTCCTGAGGAAATATTCGTATATTGTATGCATTATAGATTGCAGCAAGTATTGTTTAAAAACTGACTTCCTAGTAGCTTAGAGGAAATATACATTTGATGATCCAAACTTGGATTTAGAATCATGTGACATCTTCTTAGATATGGATATTTATCATTAATCAGGTGTTTGAAATCTTACTTTTGCTGCTCTGGGCCATCTAAACCAATTTTAAAATGTTACCGCATGTCAGATAACTGTAATTAGATACAGTTCTTTGCTGCATTTTAAAAAAAAGTTTTATAAAACCTGAAACATTCCCATGTACTCCCTTTTTATAGTTTTAATAATTTTGTTTTAGAAAAGAAATAATGAGAGAATTCAAGATGATGCTTGAAGAGTTCTTGTCAGTGGAGCAGAGTTTCTTTTAAGGGTTATCGTGTTGGATGAGTTTATTTAGTTATCAAAAAAAATACGATACTCAGTGTATTCTTGGTAAATTTCAAATTGATTACATAAGGGAGTCCCAGTTTTCCTCAAGAATTCATCAGCAATTCTTCTGTAAAGGAAAGTCGTTACTGCCCCTGGTCCCAGATTTGTGCTCTTTGCTCCCCACCAAAGGCAGAAGTGCTACGTACCTATTTTTTGTCCCTGTGATGTTATACACGTGCTTAATAAGATCCCAGATCGTATGTAGCAGTGGTCATGTATTTGTTTACTGAATGAGTGCTCTTGTGCTCCTGTCATACTTATGCACAGGACGGCTCTGAGGACTGTTTACTTAAGTAATCGTCGTGCTCGTAATTTAAGAAGAAAGCAACAAAACCAAATCGTGAAATCTTCTGGGAGTCTTATTAGTTCACTCAGATGCTGCTCTTCTTTTTATTTTTATTGTTTGGTAATTTGACAGGAACCCCTTGGTCAAATTGTATCTGTCTCTCTTTATCCCGTTTTCCTATTAGAAAAGGTTGCGATGAAAGATCCTCCGGACTTACTGGACAGGCAGAAATGCCTGAACGCCTTGGCGTCTCTTCGACATGCCAAATGGTTTCAGGTTGGCTCTTTGTTATTATCTTATTGTTATTGTAGCCTTGTGCAGGTTTCGTTTGGAACACCTGCCACTTAATGGTTTCTGTGCACGTAATGTATAAAATGGGGGCACTTTCTACCTCATAGAGTTATTGTAGGAGTAAATGAGTTAATTTAGGTAAAATGCGGAGTACAGCTTCTATTACAGTTAATGATGTTTAATTATCATACAGTCTTTTGGCTTAGTACCCTGAATTTCAAATGATGGCTTATAAAATACAAACAGGGATGAGAAAAGCTGAAAGTTAAGATAGATGGTTGCCCAGAATGGGATTGCCAGGAGGCTATGAATGCTATTTTAATAATATGCTTCCTTTACTTTAAAATCTGCCTTTCTAAACTACAATTTTACTGCTTTTAATAACTTGATTTTTTGGTTTGCTTGACAACTGATGAATGACTGGCTCATTAGTATTCCCTTTAAAGAATCTATCCATGTCCCATGTGCTTAAAATAAAGATTGGATTTCAACAGGGATATTGGGATCATTTTGTTTGTTTTAGGCAAGGGCAAACGGATTAAAATCATGTGTAATTGTCCTCCGCATTCTGCGTGATTTGTGCAACAGAGTTCCCACATGGGCACCATTAAAAGGATGGGTAAGTACTTATGGTTAAAACTGTAGTTTTAGCTGTAGTCAGATGAAATCCTGTAGAAATTACATGTTACTGTAAAAACACCGAGTTAGGTGTGCCTTACCTATTTTTGTTCTAGAAAAAAATTGTACATCTTTTTAGATACTTTATTACACATATAACCTGTCTCTTTCTACCTCATCATATTCATGTTACAGAGCCTGAGATATTTTTTCTGACAAGAAGGTCCTATACCTGTTAGAAGTGACTCCTTGCACTTTACTCTGTACTAATAGTTGATTACTGTTCCTCTAGTGTCCCTGAAAGCCGCGCATTCCTCTTTCAGGAATGCTTCCACTTAAAATAAAAGTTACCTGATATGTCTTGTATATGGCTCCCATATCCTCTTTCTCTTTGCATGTAGACCTTTAAACATATGGTTGTTTCAGTAATTAAAGTCGGGTAAACAGCACACTTTACACAAACTGTAGGCATAGTTTATAATGTATAGCGTGAAAACTTACTTCATTTGGAAATTATTATGCTTGACCTAATCGAGACCACAGTGAAGAACATTATAAAACAAATAAAGCTGTAATGGGTCATTTTAGATTAATCAAGCAATTATTACTTTGATATTGTTCATGAGTTTTTAGTTTATTAACTATGGAGATTTGGTCCTTTGTTTAGTCTAATTGTAGTACTTGGGGTAGGCTGTGTGAAATGAAGTCTTAATGTGGTTTGATGGCTTCCAAGTTAAGTAGGAGATAAGTGGGCTGGGTTTAAGCATTGATTAGTTATTAGCTATTACTAACTGATACGTACAGCTTGTTAAATCTTTGTTAAATCAACTAGATGACCACAGTTTCTTAAGTGATCCTTTCAGGGTAACCCAAAATAAGGTTTTTGTAACAAAATGTCTTCTGAGTATGTTAACTCAAAAATGATTTTAAAAACTCTGGCTGGGGTAAAAGTTGGTAATCAGTCAGGAAGAGTTAATTGGGCCCTAAATATTAAGTTGACTTTCACCTTTTTGGCCTCCATTGTAGATAGAAATGTCAGCTCACATTTAACTGGAATCCTTTTAACACTTGGTGCATGTACTAATTTGTAATTTAATATCTTCTAGCCACTAGAGCTTATATGTGAAAAGTCTATAGGTACTTGTAATAGACCTTTGGGCGCTGGGGAGGCCTTGAGACGAGTAATGGAGTGTTTGGCATCTGGAATACTACTTCCTGGTAAGGGTTTCAAACTCTGGAGGCAGAAGAATCAGAAAAATTTCATTTTAGTTTATTTTTCTAAATATGTGCTATATTTGTCCTCTGCACAGGAAAATGATGCGTAGGTGTTATTTTGCTTGGAATGTTAGCAACTAGAATGTTTGAATGTTGGAAAAGTGATACAAACTCTCTTTCAATAACTGTAATTTATATTTTAGATGTACTAACATAAAAGGTACTAATAAGATATTGTGTCTGCTATGAATTTGCTTTACCTAGAGCGCTGAATTTCAAAATGTAGATGTCTGGTTAAAATGTATGAAGTTCATCCTGTTTGCAGTCAGGTTTTTAATTTGGAAAAATTAAATTTGGTCTTATTTTACGTATGTGATCCCTTTAAAGATCTGGGATGGTTCATCACACTGTTTCTAAATTCTCAGAGTAAGACCCAATTTTGTCGTTAGATATGCAAGTAACTTCCGGTAAAATAAGGACATTTAAGTGTTAACATATTGAAAATGAGAGAGTGTCCTTTTTATTCCATTTAATTGAACAGATTTTTAACTTAGTTCCTCAGCTTTTTTTTACTTTCCATTCTTTTCTCTCTTTGTGTTAGTTCATGGAATTCTAAACTCAGCTCTAAGTGGTGTTTGTGTTTTTCTTTTGTCCTTGCTAAAGGGGGTCCTGGTCTTCATGATCCTTGTGAGCGAGACCCAACAGATGCTCTGAGCTATATGACCATCCAGCAAAAGGAAGATATTACCCACAGTGCACAGGTAGAAGATGGGGCATGGCACAGTGATCTATTAGATATCATAACTTTATTTTCTGAACTGTTGTATTTAAACATTTATTTCTTGTCTATTATTAGGGTTTTTTGCCATCATAAGGATAGCATTTAACGAATGTCCTTAAATGTTCTAAGGGCTTTATGAATGGCCATTGAAATGTGAATAAACATAATCTTTTGTTCTTTAGCATGCACTCAGACTATCAGCCTTTGGCCAGATTTATAAAGTGCTGGAGATGGACCCCCTTCCATCTAGTAAGCCTTTTCAGAAATATTCCTGGTCAGTTACTGATAAAGAAGGTGAGTGTTTTATTGGGTTGGACATGGGCAGTGGTGATGTTTATGCGATGCATCGCTTGTTAGAGCTGAGGGAACTTTATTGTTAATCTAAGTCATATATTGCTTTTCTTTCTGACTTTCTTCTGTGCTGTCAATGACATAGCTTGCTATCATTTATTCTTATTAGTGACAAACACACTTAGCCACATTGACCAGATTCCAATCCACTTTACTGCGTAGATTTAGGGACCACACTTTGAGAACCCCTGGTCGAAGAAGTAAAGATAGTAAAGCCATAAGCTAGGAGACGATGTTACCACGGTCACTGACCAGTTTGATCTTTGTCGTGTTTGGAAGTATTCTGTAATTAAGAAAGAGAAAGATACAGAGGAGGAGGAAAAAGTATACTGGAAAATTCAGTACTACTCCATTGACCTAATATGTCTGAACTCAAGAGTTTCAACAGAGCACAGGCTTTGGGGTGGGTATGGCCTAGGTTCCAGTCAAATCTCCACTAATTTACTAGCTTTCGGCCTTGAGCAACGGATTCATCTCTCTCTCTGTAGGGTTATTACCTCCAGTTTATTGTCTGATGTCAGATTCAAATGCCCAACTCAGTGCCTGGATTATATTGCAGATACTCAAATGTGAATCACTTATCACCTCATGCTGCCACAATAGATGCCCGCCCCCCCCCCCTCCCTGGCCCCCAGTTTCCTGTTATACTAGAAAGTAGGATGTTGTCCACTAGTTATTCTTCACCTGGGACCCAGCCCCTCTCCCATATGGACATTACTCTAATAATTTTTATATGACAAAAATAGTGTGGTGACCCAGTTTGTTTATTTAGATAGCAGAATTCCAGAGGTTAAAAGACTTTTCAGGGGGTCCACAAAACCAAAACTGTTTCATAATAATACTAAGGCACTTTTTTTGTTTTTTTTGGATCTTTTCCATTCTTTGTCTCATGGTATACAGTTTTCCAGAGGCTGCATATAACATATGATGGCATCACCTCTCTAATGGTTAATGGAATGTTTTTTATATACTCTTGTATTAAAGTTGTTTTAATTTCTAGTGTGCTAAATATTGATAGATGTAACCCGCAAAACAAAGCTCTTAGAGTGCTCAGTAATTTTTTTTAGATAAGGGGGTCCGGAGACTAAAAATTTGAGAATCACTGCCTTATGCTATAAACTCCTCAGAGGTAAGGAGTTCTCCAAGTCCTACTATATAACTTAAAAACCAGTGCTCATGGGGCACCTGGGTGGCTTGGTCAGTTAAGTGTCTGACTCTTGGTTTCAGTTCAGGTCATGATCTTATAGTTCATGAGATCAAGCCCTGTGAGCTAACGACGTGGAACCTGCTTGGGACTCTCTCACCTCTCTCTCTGCCCCCATCCCTGTTCGTGTGTGTACTCTCTCTCTCTCAAAATAAATAAACATTAAAAAAATAAATAAAAACCAGTGCTCAGTATTTGTGGAATGAAGGACAACTTCCAGCTGGTGCTCACACAGCAGCAGAGAGTTTTTGGAAAAGACTCACATAGCCACCTGACATTAAGCACTGTCTGTGGTTGAATAGAATTTTTAAATATCTGTAGAGATTTTTGTAATTAGTATGAAAAATTTTGTTTGAATCACTGAATTCATAGCAGTGCTTTGGGTTTTGTATTTTTTCTTTCACTAGATAGTAAAAGCATATCTAATATAGTTATGTGACTTAGTTGGGTTTTTTTTCTTTTTCTTCTTTTAACTTTAAGGGTCTTTCTCAAAAGTTTGACAACTGTTGGTCAGTCAATTTATAGCTTAATATAGAACCATTCAAGCACCATCAGTTAACTAGCTGCATGAGCCAGGCAGGTCATTTACCCATCTGTGCCTTAGCTATTAGAGGAAGGGACCATGGCCATTGCCTCCAGACCCTTATGGCATGCTTTCTCATATCTTCATGTTTCTGGCACCTAGCTTGCTGACATTGGCATTTGCACTTTATTCTTATAATTCTTGGTGATTTCACGATGCACTCAGACAATTTTTTCCAAAATTCTGACTTCTTAATTCCTTGATTTCCTCTCCCACAAATGTTTTGACTTCTATCCTACCTCACTTATCCATTCTGTGGACATCCCCTAGACCTGTTTTCAATAACTGTACCCTCTCCATCATCTTATTTTCAAGAATCTTACTTTCTAACTGCCTTTTGTCATCATTCTCTCTAGTACCCTTGGTCCAGTTCTTGAGCCTCACCAGTGATTCTGTTGCCTTCTCAGAGTCCCTCACCTTTCTCATGTTCTCTTCTGTCCCTTCGCTGCTTAGATTCTGTGGTCCATCATTATGATCACTCCCTAGCATATGCCTTCACTTCCTTGGTCCTTTCTTCTTGGCACAGTTCTAACTCTGTGGAAATCCAGCTCTGCCTGAACCAGGCTGTTAAACATTGTTAGGGGAAAAATACAGTCACCTTGTCTTTTTCCCTTTAGGTCTATTACAAATAGACCATTGGTGTGTCTGGCAATCCTCCTGTAAGTTCTAGTGTTCTCCAGTTGTCCTAGCTGACTGTTTTACACCTTTTCTTATTTCATACTTCCTCTTCCAACACCTCGCTCTCATCTGATAACCTTGTTTGCTCGAAGGACTCATGTACTTTGCATAAACTCCCTACTGTGGATAGGCTGTCCAGGCTCTTAAGACCAATCTTTCTGCTTGTCTACTTTATCTGATCCCCTTTGCCTACAAGTGGACATTATTCCAATAATTCTCTCTTTTTTCACCAGAATCAGCTCTTCCCTTTCTACTGGATCATTTTCATCAGTGTAAAAATTTGCTGTAATGACTCCCATTTGAAACCAAACTCCATCTGATGCTGTAGCTCCCTCCAACAGTCTCCTTTTCTGTTCCCCTTTATAGATACCTTTGGGGAGAGTCGCCTATTCTTTCTCCTTTCCTTCACTTTTAAAAACTTAACTCTAATCAGGCTTTTTTCCTCCCGATTCTACCAAAGTCTCTGTTGTGACCTTCATGTTACTACACTCAGCAGTTAGTTTTCAGTCCTCATCTTAGCTGAAATTTTAGCCACCTTTGACACAGATGAGCACTGTTTTTTCCTCCCACATTAATTTTATTTCATGTATACAGAAAAGTATAAAACATACACCATTTAAAAAATAATAATTATTAAAAAAATTACATACAATCACCACCCTGGTTAAGAAACAATACTGTTAGCTTCTCAGAAAACACCTATTTATCTCTCCACGTCACCTCCCTGCCCCATGAACTATTCCTGACTTTTTGGTAGTCATTTCCTTGATTTTCTTTATAGCTTTCCCATCTGTATATGCTTTTGTAAACAATTTGACGTTGCTTATAACTTTATAGAAAGGGAAGCAAACTGAGTTTAGTCTTCTGTGATTGGCTTCTTTCTGTCCAGCATTGTTTGGGATAAGTTCATGTTGGTACACATAGCTATGTTTGTTCATTTGAATAGCTACACAGCATCCATTATGAATGTACTACAATTCCCCCATCTACTTTTGCAGGGTGAATGAGGTCTTTCCGTTTGTTGGCATCCACCTGCAATATTGCTGTGAGCACTTTCTTACATGCCTCCTGGGGTGTTTATCTAGGAGTTCCTGTAGGCCAGTGTATGGTCTAGTAAATGGTTATACGTATCAGTTTACACTTTGACCAGCAATGTATGAAAAGTTCTGGGTGCCCTTTATGCTCAACAGCATTTGTCATTGTCACATACTTTTTCTGACATGAAATACGACTTCTCATTTGATTTGTAGGTAATTATTTTCTCTTGGTTCTTCGAGCCACACCGCCCTCTCCTCAGCTATGTTTGTTTTTCCCTGATCTTCTTGGTTTCTGAATATTTAAGTGTCCAAGAGTACAGTCCTCAGACTGTATCTCTTCATTTATACCCACTCTTTAGGCAGCCTCATCTGTCTAGTCCCTTGTGATGAAATATATATATCTCTACCACCAGCCTTAGCCACAGACCCAGATAGCCAAAGTCCTCTTCGGTGTCTCCGCAGGATGTCTAAGAGACACCTCAAACTTAAGATGTCTAAAATCCAAATTCCTGTCCTTAACCCTCTGTCCATCTGTGTACGCAGATCAGACACCTTCACCCTTCAGGCCTCTTTTTCTTTGACTCTGATCCAGACCATCAGCAAATTCTGTCTGTTTTACTTTGAAAGTGTGTCCAGAATTCAGCTATTTCTTTAACTCCTTCACTGCTGTGTTCCTGACCTACTATCATCATCTCTCACTGATTAGTGCAATTGTCTCTCTTATCTGGTCTTCCGGTTTCTGCCCTTGTCATCATTGTTTTCAACATAGCTGCAGTTCTTTTTTTTTCTTCTTCTTCTTAACTTTTTATCTAGAAATAATTACAGATTCACAGGAAGTTGTAGAGATAGCACAGAGAGGTCGCATGTACCCTTCACCCACTTTCTCCCAGGTTACCTCTTATGTAACTATAGTACACTATTAAAGCGAAGAAACTGATTTTAATACAACTTGTGTGTGTTTTATGCCATTTTTATCACATGTTGATTTGTATAACCAGCATCACAATCAAGGTGCAGAACTATTTCACCACCACCAAGATCTCTTTCATGTAGCTCCTTTGTAGCCACACCTACCCCCTCTCCTCTCAGTCATTCCCCAACCCTGGAAACCATGCATTTTTCTCCATCTCTAGGATTTTGTCATTTCAAGGATTTTATTTATTTATTATTTTTAAGGTTTTTTTTTTAACGTTTATTCATTTTTGAGAGACAGAGCACGAGTGGGGGAGGGGCAGAGAAAGAGGGAGACACAGAATCCAAAGCAGGCTCCAGGCTCTGAGCTGTCAGCACAGAGCCCAATGTGGGGCTCAAACCCACGTACCTTGAAATCATGACCTGAGCCAAAGTCAGATGCTTAACCGACTGAGCCACCCAGGATTTTAAATAAATGAGTTTATACTGTATATGATCTTTTGAGAGCCTCTCCTCCTTGCCCTCCCCC